TTACGTTTAATCTAATATTGAAAGACATTCAGTTTCTGTTTGTCAATTGAAATCTTGCTTCTAATTTATGTAATTTTCCTTAGTTTTTTCTTTTTCTGTTTGAAAAAAGCTGATTAACCTAGTACTGATGTACCTGCAATTATTATTCAATACTTCAATGTAACTAAATTGTTCATTTACTTCAATAAAAATACGAAAAGACTAATTTCTTTTAGGTTATTAAGAATATTATTGAGTTTATTTTTGTAACGTCTTCGACAAAATTTATATTAGACTTGTACAGCTCAAAAGGGACGTAAAATACACTATCAAATCTCATACAATTATCGATGATGTTACGAATACGTTCTCGCAACTGTCACAAATATTCGTGATAGGCCCTCTGGCTTACATTTTATCTATATCTGTACTAATGTAATAAATCGTAAACACACACTTCTTTGTTGCCTAAGACCTCAGCAATCACAGCATATTTTCGAATAACTCTTTTTGTAAAAAAAATCCCTACACTTACGTCACGCTTTAGGATATATATTTTCACGCCATTAAATAAAGGGGGTAAACATTTTTGACAAAAACCCTAATGTGAGAAAGAGACCATAAGTTGCTGCCAACGTTGCCATGGTTTGTCATCATGTCATGTCATTTTGACATTTGCAATTGATAATTTGACAAATGTAAAATATTTTTTTACAATTCAATGCGGATGAAGTCGCACGAGAACAGCTAGTAAAGAATAAAATATGGAATTACATGTAATTGAACATGATCATTTGTAAAGCTGAATCGATCGTAAAGATTTTATGAGTGGACAGGTCCCATTTCGTACTTTAATTGGTCGTTTTCAGGCGTAAAATTAAACAAATTAATCGTACATTTTTTCTTTCAAAATATCATCGAACGCTATTGAATATTCATATTTACTTTATAAAGTAATTGGAAAGGATCCTTTTATGAAAAATATTCGATAAAAATGAAATCTGATTGAAATACATAAAGGGTCAGTTTATGTCAATTAATTTCCTTGACAAATAAATAAATAAGATATGGCTTTCTGAGTATATACGAAGCATAAAATAATGAATTACTACCATGATAGTATAAGTGTGTTAACATCGATTTGAGAGGTTTAAGGAAATCATAAAAGTGGAAGGTATTTATAAAGAATTTGTATTACATGTCTCAATTGCAATTGCAACATCGCATTTATTATACAAAAAGGTGGCAACCGGGCAAGCGGTTGTTTAAATCCGCCAAAATGACGAAGCAACTACAGCCCATAGACATCTTCAATTGTAGTTACGTTGCCCTAAATCGGTAGA